AGCAGTTAAGAACACTAGTTGTTCTTGCAGAAGACCCAGGTTTGAATCCCAGCACCCACATTAACTCCAGTACCAGGGAATCTGACATTCTCTTCTGATCTCTGCAGGCATTGCACTACACGGGTGCACTTATCTACATGCAGGCAATATACTCATACACATAAAATAGAAATAATAAATATTAAAAAATATAAATAAAACTGATAAACCCTAATTGCAAAACAAGTCAATATAGACAGGACGAGAACAGATGAGCTCAGCTTTAAACTTGTTACCCAAATAAAACACCATCAATATTTTTAAAAAATATTTTATTATTTTTGTTTTATGTATATGAGTGTATTGCCTGCATGTATATAAGTGCACCCATGTTGTGCAATGCCACGGAGGTCAGAAGAGGGCTTTGGAGTTCCCTGGAACTGGAGTTAAGGACAGTTCATAGCTGCCATGTGGGTGGGTGCTGGGAATCAAACCCGGGTCCTCTGCAAGAGCAATCAGTGCTCTTAACCGCCGAGACATCTCTCCAGCTCCCCACTATCAATATTTTTTAATTTTAGTTTATTTTGGAATGGAGGGATGGTTAAGAGTGGTTAAGAGTACTGACTGCTCTTGCAGAAGACCCAGGTTCACTTCCCAGCACCCATATGGTAGCTAACAACATTCCAGTTGTAACTACAGTTCCAGGGGATCTGACGCCCTCTGACCTCTGCAGGCATTGCATAGCACAGGTGTGCTTACATACATGCAGGAAATACATTCATACACATAAAATAAGAATATTAAAATTTATTTTTAAATTATGTGAATGTGTGCTTATGTCTGTGTGAGGTTATGTGCACAAGTGCAGTGCACATGTGGAAATGGACTGGATGTTGTGTGTGTGATGTTTAGATCTAGTGTCACTCCATAGGTGCAAACACCTCCCTGTCTCTGTCCCCTTCATCCTTCAAGCCTTCTACCACCGCAATTCCACCTTGTCAGGAGGAAGCAGTCTGTATGTTCAAGACCCAAGCTCCCATCTGTGCCCTGCCACATGCTCTTCAGCCTCGGGCAAGCCATTCTTCTGTAGAATGGAGATAAGGATTTCCATGCCACCTAGCTCTTGAGTTTTCTTGGAAGACTCAGAGGAAATTGTGACCATGAGAGTACTATGTAAATACAGGGCACTGTCCACACAAGTTTTATTGTAAAATGCTGAATCTTAACTGAAGGTGTCAGAGGGGTGGATGCCCAAGCCAGCTGGTACAGCCTTTCTATTTTTGGCTCCTGGAACTCACTCCCTTAGTGCATTTTTGAACATCAGCATTATTGTTTTTTAAAACAAAGTGTTGTAAAAGTTCAAGAGCACCAAGAGTGGGCAAAGTGCAGAACGGAACTGTTGACTCTCCCGCACAGCTCGGGGAGCAAAGAGGTCCAAGTTCCTTAGGAAGATGTCTGGCAGAATCTACTAAAGCTGACTTACATGAATGATGAAGGCCCAAGTTCTTTGCTCACTACAGACGAGTACAGGTACACATGTATGCTCACCAAAAGACTATGAGAAAGTTCTAAGAGCAATGTTTGTGAGAGTCCCAAACTGGACACTACACAAGTACCATCAGTAGCTCCATGGACAAATCACAGTATCTTCATATAACAAACTACTATCTAGCAATGAGCAAGGATTTAGGTGTGTGAGACCACTGTATCAGACTCACCAGTGCTGAGCGAAAGCAGCCTGACAAAAACCAATACAATACAAGCTTGCTTCACTCACCTCCCTTCTCTCCCTCTCTCCCTCTCTCCCTCTCTCCCTCCCTCCCTCCCTCCCTCCCTCCCTCCATGTTGTTCCCCCTCCCCTACCATCCCCCCACAGAGCCTGACTATATAGACCAAGCTGGCCTGGAACTTGCTATGTAGATCAGAAAGGCCTCAAACTCAATCCTTTTGCCTCTGCCTCCCAAGTGCTATGTGATTGGAAGGCAAGTACCACCACACTTGGCCCATCACTCAAAGCTCTTAGTGCATAAACAAACCACTCAAAACATATAGTCCTAAAGCAACAGTGATTTATTATTTCGGAATAATGAGCCCCTGAATTGTGGGATGGATGTACAGTTCCTCTTCCTGATTTCACCTTAGTTCATGTATGAGGCTGCACCAAGCTGCAGTGGGCTGCGCTGGAAGGCTCAGGGTGCCCTCATGCATAACCTCATTCCTGCAGTGTCGATTCTTCTCCACCTTCCTTATATGGCAGCGATCAGAGTGCAGCCATTCATGAGGATGAACGCAGTACTGCACAGAGCTGTAAAGCTCAGGGCCAGACCTTGGCAGTTGCCTGGTGCCCACTCCCCTGCACTGTATAGGTTGAACTGAGTCAACAGTCTAGTCCAGATGCAACAGGTGTGGATCTGGACCTACTGCTTGATGAGAGGAAGTCACTTTACAAAGGTGTAAAGGAATGGGAGAACTTTGTGACTGTGTTTTTCATCTACTACAATATGACTATTTACATAAGAAGTAGAAAAGCAAGCAAAATCCATGCGTGCTGATACTAATTCCTTGGCAGATGAGGCCTGCAGAGTGTGCCACACACCGGTAGATTTCTTTCTCTCTCTCTCTTTTTTAGTTTTCCCTCTTTGAGACAGGATCTTTTTTAATTAAAAAAATTTGTGTGTGGGGCTGGAGAGATGGCTCAGCGGTTAAGAGCACTGACTGCTCTTGCAGAGGACCCGGGTTCGATTCCCAGCACCCACATGGTGGCTACGAACTGTCCTTAACTCCAGTTCCAGAGGAATCTGAAGCCCTCTTCTGACCTCTGTGGC